GAGGCATACTTTATTTGAGAAAGCAGGTAGCCATCATCTGAAGAGGTCACTTCAAGCCCCAAAAAGTAGCTCAGAACACCAAGATCTTTCATCTCAAATTTTTGACTGAGAGATTGTTTTAACTCCTCAACACCTGCGACATCATCTCCAGTAATAATCATGTCATCAACATAAAGAAGTAAAAAAACCATACCCCGAGCAGTCTTACGAATGAACAAAGCTGTATCATGTGGACTGGAAGTAAAACCAAACTCACTCACAGTAGCACTAAACTTTGCATACCAGGCTTGAAGGGATTGCTTCAACCCATATAATGCTCGGCGCAATCGACATCCCTTGTTTGGAGGATGGTGGAGCCCAGGAGGTGGTTTCATATAAACTTCTTCTTCTAAGTCACCATCAAGAAAAGCATTTTTCACATCCATCTGAAACAATTTCCATCTCCGTATAGCAACGATAACAAGCAAACTGCGCACAGATGTAAGACGAGCAACTGGAGCAAATGTCTCTTCATAGTCGATTCCATACTCCTGTGTAAAACCCTTGGCAACCAAGCGTGCCTTATAACGCTCCACAGAACCATCAGATCGCGTTTTGATCTTGTACACCCATTTACAGCCTATTAGAAATTTTTCAGCAGGGAGATCAACTAAATCCCATGTACGAGTGTTCTCAAGAGCTTGTAATTCATCTTGCATAGTTTGTTGCCAAAGAGGGTTAGAAGAGGCCTCTTGATAGGATTGAGGCTCATGTAACGAAGTAATAGCAAGAAAACAATGATAATCACGAAGATAGTTTAGAAGCTTTCTTACCCAAGTAGGATGACTCGAGGATGGGACAACAAGCTCATTTGTAGACGAGGAAGTAGAAGAAGGCTCAAAATTATCTAATGCATTACCAGCAGGCAGATCATCTTCTACAGAACTGGTTGGAGCATGTGGTGAGGCATTGTAGAGCTCATCAAATGTACCTGCATTAGAATCACTAGGAAATAGCTCAATAAAAGGATTAGTAAAAAATGGAGGTTGATGAGAGGATGACACTTTGAAGTTTGACAATGATGAGAACATAGTGTGTTCCCAAAAGACAACATGATGTGAAACTCGGAGTTTTTGTGACACAGGATCCCAACAACGATATTCTTTCTGTGTAATCCCATAACCCAAAAAACAGCATAATCAAGCTCTAGGTTCTAACTCGTTATGTTCATGAGGTGGAAGAAGAACAAAACATGCACAACCAAAAACCTTAAGAAGATTATAAGCAAGAAGAATACCATGTAGACGCTCATATGGAGACTGGTTATTAAGGACTGATGATGGAATGCGATTAATAAGATAAGCAGCTGTAAGAGCAGCCTCACCCCAAAATCGCTTTGGACAAGAGGATGAAATGAGCAGAGCACAAACAGAATCAAGAATGTGTCTGTGTTTGCGTTCGGCTCACCCATTTTGTTCAGAAGTATAAGGACAAGATTGTTGTGGCAGTGTACCTTGTTCTTTCAAAAAAGATTGAAGTTTAGTACCAAGATATTCAGTAGCATTGTCAGTTCTCAAAACTTTGATAATTTTAGAGAACTACGTTTTGACCATGGTAGCAAAATCAATATAAATTTGTGATAATTCAGAGCGACTTTTCATAAGGTATATCCAGGTAAAACGAGTATGATCATCAATAAATAACACAAAGTACCTGGAACCCCCCATGGTGGGTGTAGGAGATGGACCCCAAACATCAGAATGCACAAGATCAAAAGGAGCAGTAGAATGAGAATGACTACTCGAAAAAGATAAAGCAGGTTGCTTTGCAGATTGATATGATACACAAAGCACAGATTCATTCGGAACTGATCCTAATAAACCACGAGAGATAAGTGGACGAAGTTTACCGACAGAGGTATGTCCGAGTCGTGAGTGCCACAAATGGAGAGGAGAAATGTTAGTAGCAGCACAGACTTGGAAGATTTGTTGATATGGAATTTGCAAAGACTCTAATTCAACAGCACAAAGCAGGGTTTGGATGAATCGATCATTTGGAAATGATGGTGTATCCATTTTATTATCAGGAATATGCAAATAGTTGAGCTCAAATAAACACTCCACCTTGCGACTAGTTCCAAGAAGTTGTCATGTCTGTGGGTCCTGCACAGGACAACCATGAGCAAAAAATGTTACTTCAAGACCAAGATCGCATAATTGACCGACAGATAGAAGATTATAACTAAGTTTTGGAACTAAAAGGGCATTTGGTAAAGTCAATGACTTTGTAGAAACATTACTAATGTGACTAACATTCATAGGGGAACCATCAGCAGAATAAATATCAGGAAAGGAATTATTAGGTGACATTGAAGAGAAATGAGCAGTAATTGAAGACATATGGTTACAACAACCAAAATCAAAATACCAAGGTTTGGTAGCTGGAGCAGTAGATAAGGCAGTAGGAGCATTAAAAAGATTTAATATCACCTGTTTTAGAGATTCAAGGTTGACATTAGGTTGTTCTATCACTTCTTTGGCAATCGTAGCAGTAGCAGGATGAGTTACAATCCTTTCAAAACTCGTCATAGAATCAGTAAACTCACAATACTGAAAAACTCTAAAAATATGGAAAAATAGATGCCAAGATCGAAATAACAAACCAACAAAATACCTCAGAAAGGGTCTGAGAATCAAAAATAAACAATCCAATTTGTATGAGAAGAGATCCCAATGACAGTTTCAGATATGGAATGGAATTGAAAATCCAACTCCAAAAAAACCCAATAGCGATGATAAGAGAAAAGAACCAAGAGCTTATAGCTCTGATACCATGTTAAAAACTGAAAAGAAGGAGAAATATCTGAAAAAAGATTTATTGCTTTCTTGAATTATACTGTATGTACAATAATCTATATATAGGTTTTTACAAAGAGAATATTATAAGGTATAAAGTATACAAAGAGAATATTTTAAAGTATAAAATATTTACAATAATTCTAAATATAATTATACTCACATCTTAACACTCATATACTAGAATTCTTAAAGACTTCCCTTGAACAAGTTTAACCAACTCTTCTTTTGGATCTTTCCCATATGGCATTGAACTCTCCGGTGTATCAATACCCCTAATTAATTTCAATAATTGTTAACTGTTAATCACTGCCATTATTGATTA